TATAATGAGTGAGTTTCGTTTTACGCCACTTTTAGCAATATTCCAGCAATATCACGGCGGGGGACACCGGAAATGTGCTTCACACATTGTACCCATGTGGGGAATCCAACCCGGGTCTTCGGCGTGACGAGCGCACGCTTAACCTCTAGGCTACCCCACCGCCCAAGCTATATATCGAGGAATATTGGATTCAGGTGCCATGTAGCTTCCTGTACCGAGAACTTTTCCCAGTGAATCTTGTAATATTTCTCTCCATTAACTAGTTTGTGAGCCGGAATTCGTTTGACAATGAAAACATCATAATCTTGTAAGTCAAAAGGGGAAAGTTGTGCCTGCCTGCGTGGCCGACGCTTGCTGTGAGGCCGGAGTTGTCATGCCTGTTTCCGAATCAGATGCATCAAGTTGAGCGAAGTGCCAGCTTGCGGGAAAGGGGTGGAAGTAGTAGGTTGACAAATCTGTTCAGTGGGTCCTCGTGGACAGGCACCTTAAGTAATCTATGATCAGCACAAGGACGTACCTTGTAGGTAAAGTGAGGCAATTCATCAGAAATGTAGAAAGGTCCATGGACAATGTATCTTTTTACATTTACCTATAGACTAACAACTAGTCTCTGAAATGAACATATTTTACAGAAAAAAAGCTCATAGTGGAAAAAAAAAAAATAATAATGAAAAGACTTTCTTCATTTCCTGAAGCTGTGGAAATCTAGACTTGCCACATTTTCTAGACTTGCGTGGGCTTTCTTGGATATATTTGCTTCAGGGTCTGTATGAGAGATTAATTTGCCTACAGCATGCGCTGTTGCATGGAGCCACACTTTTTCTCCAGCTGAAAGGGGGTATTCGCGTTTAGGCAACTTTTTAGTTCAAGAGAAATGGGGAGGCGACAGTCTTCGCTGAAGACGAAAACGAAATTCGCTCAATATTTATACACGCCGTAAAATGTCGCCTGAATACGAATGAACCAACGTCGCACTTAATGCAATGAAGGAGTTGTCTATCCATAAAAAGTGTTCCTCTTCATCAGGGGCGGTGGGGTAGCCTAGTGGTTAAAGCGTTGGCTCGTCACGGCGAAGACCCGGGTTCGATTCCCCACATGGGCACAATGTGTTAAGCCCATTTCTGGTGTCCCCCGCCGTGATGTTGCTGGAATATTGATAAAAGCGGCGTAAAACCAAACTCAGTCAGTCAGTCAGTCCTCTTCATCATACCAGCTTCTAAATGCCACTTAAAGGACGTTATAACATACTATACTGGACTAAAGTAAGTGTGCATTATTTGATGCTATGCCATGTCTAACGCAAGAAGGTAATAACATGATGTGTGGTGTTTTCCTTAATCACTCTTTAACTGTTCACAGGATAATATCGAAGTCTGTATGATTTTACACTAGGCATCGTGACACGCTCTTGAGGAGATGTGGTGTCCAAAGTCAGTTCACAAATTCATTACCGCGTGTGTCCACCATGGGCGTTGATGCAGGCTTGACAGCGACTAAGCATAGACCACCCTAAGCGATTGAAGAAAGCTTTGGGAATATTGTTCCATGTCTGAACCAACGCTTGCCCCAATTCAGCTAACGTCAATGGCTGATTCTGGACTTGACGTAAACGTCGCTCAATTCATCCCAAGCGTGCTCCATAGGGGACAGGCCGGGGGGAAAAGTGCATGAGCGAGTATGGTTTTACGCCGATTTTAGCAATATTCCAGCAGCATCACAGCGCAGGAGAAACAGCTGGCCAGGGGAGTACCGGAATGTTCTGCTGTCTCAGGAAATCTGTCAGAACACGAGCGACATTTGGACGGGCATTATCTTGGTGAAACGTGAAGTTACGTCTTTGCCCTTGAATGAACGGCTGCACATGAGGCACACTGATCTCATCCCTGTATCGCAGACCTGTCAGATTGCCAATGACAATGACAAGTTGTGTCCGACCATGATATGTGATGCTTCCCATACTATAACTCGGTTTCCACCACACTGTCGACGTTTAACAACGCACACGTCAGCATACCGTTCACTTCGCCGCCTGTATACCCTTGCCCTGCCATCTGAGCTGTCCAGATGAAATCCCTGTCAGTGAACAAAACACTATCACAATCTTGTCCCCTGTACTGTAGATGCTGTCTGCATCAGTTAAGACGTGCCTGTCGGTGACATAATGGAGCAAATTTGGACGTGCAGGCCGACGGGGCCGGATGTTCTGCTACCTCAGTCAGCTCCGTACAGTCCTGGAACTGATTGGACGTAAGCCAGGAATGGTCCAAGCAGCCGAGTTTGGTTGACTTGCTCATATGACGTCACGTGTGGACGGCCCGTCCGAGGCAAATCTCTCGTGTTCCCATTATGTTGAGAACGGCCAGACAGACAGACAGACAGACAGACAGATTTATTCAGTATAAGGCCTTTGGCCCAAAATACAGACAATATAGGGTTACAAAATATCCCTGCGCATAATACATATTTACATACATTCCATAGTATAAAATAGTTCAAATGCATGATATGAATTAGGGATAACTGTACTGTGTTTGACGAATTGGGGACGTATACCGGTGGTTATATAGCCGCAAATTTAGTTATAACGTTAAATTTGCGGCTATATAACCACCGGTATACGTCCCCAATTCGTCAAACACAGTACAGTTATCCCCATTCTAATTTAACTCGTTTTACGCTGTTTTTGCGTGAAAGAAATTCATTATTTAAACCAGGTCAAAGTTCCTCTAGGTCAAGGGTTAATCATATCACTCCTTCAACTTACACCATCGCCAGAGAAAGTAGTTCCCTTTTCAAACTACACACGTTTATTATGTGCACACAGACTAAATTTGACAATGATGAATAGATCATAGTATTATAGATAAAATGGACGGTATTATGATGAAACCGCCCTCTAGTTACAGAAATGAGCGGCCCGCTGATTCCTCAACTACGGGCCATTATCAGTTCTGTTGTCAAATGACGTCATAGCAGGTGACGTCACGCTCCAGAATGACGTCATAAACCTTGTTTCATGATCTAACAGTGTTGGGTCAACAGCCCGTTGCGAGTAAGTTGTTTGAACTTAAAATTAAATTTATGATACTGTTTTGTCTTTTTTAACAATTTTAGCTGGATAGGGGAGTTAATTGACCAATGGCTTCTGCAAATGACAATGTCCTGCGAAACAGCGTTACCCCAATAGTGTAGGGATACATTCAAAGGTTTCGGTGAATCGGTTTTCAAATTGCGACCGTATATGCTGATTATACGGTCGGAAATTTATAGCATTGACCAATCAGAACTCGTGTTACATACTAAGTTGAATTAGAATTAGGAGATAAACATCATGTGTTGGCGAATTTCCGGGTGTTATTGAGTATTTGAAGCACGGGAATTCATTTGGAACCGACGGCGTCAGCCGGAGGTTTCAAATGAAATATTCCCGTGATTCAAATACTCAATAACACTCGGAAATTCGCCAACACATGATGTTTATCGACATTGTAAACACAAAAGTAAACCGAAAGGTCCACACACGTTTTTTGTGTCTGCTCTCATTGACATCGAGTACGGGTACAGCAGTGAAATGTCATCAGCCGGCCGTTTCGGCTGTCTCCCATGGTAGCATCTGGAACTGCTCATTTGTGACGTCATTCGGACTTTACGTCACAATATGATTTTAATGACGTCATCACAGCTGACGACAATACAATACAATGGAGTGAGCGATGTTTGTATGTATTAATACGCAGAGAATTTCCGGGAATCAAATACCATTTGATCACGTTTTTCAACCAATCAGATTAAAGAACACAGTGCCTTTTGGTTTACAGTATATTATATATTACTTTGCCTTATTTGTTGTGCTTTAAATAAAAAGATTGAAGTGTTATGCAAAATATCATAATTATGAGAAGCGATTATAGAAATAAATGTATGCTGAGAGGTAGTATTTACCAATAAGTGTATTACGGAAAAAACTATAAGCTTCACAGAATTAGAAGTACATGATATTCATTTTCAATAAAATACTTTTTGGGATAAACAGAGAGGACAGAGTCTTTCTTCATATGGTGTAGCTTGATGTCTTCCAGTGTTGACAGCTATTCTTAAGTTACTGCATCTGAAGCGTGATAAGATCCTTTTTAAGCGAGATGGAAGTGATGAGTTCAGATAGTATTGAGAACGTCTCCATAGAGATGAGATCGTGTTTCGATGGACACCAAAACGGCCACTTCATTAGAATTTTGGGCCATTCCCGTCTCCAGCATACCCCAGGCGCGGAGCCGCTGATTTTCTGTAAGCCGTGACATGACGTACGTACGCGCAGTTTAGGTTGAAATTAACGTGTTTTCTACAACATTCAGAGACAATTAGAGAATACTCAACCGTTCTTCAATTGTCTACAGGTGAGTGAACTTCAGGTGTCACAACGCATGCAAAAATTGAGTAGATCTAAGTTCCTTGTGTACAAAGTGCACGTGCCATGCGTGATAGGTGGCATCAAATTTCACACAAAGGGCTTTGCTACATGTTTATTTAGGGTTATTTTTATAACTTTTGAAATAACTTTATTTCATGCAATTTTATGTTACCGTTCAAATGTACATATACAATATATAGACATATGATAATGTGACAAACTACAAACAAATGGGATGAATTGTTATTTCAGTTTAGTGTGATATAACATATGTGTATAACGTTTGTTTGTAGTTGTTGTATTGTTTTTGACGTGGGAATGTTTTACACCGAGATGCCGTCAAATTTCAGTAAAAAACATCGTTAACATTTTACATTACACCACAATATAGCCGATAAATATTTTCATTCTTCAATTATCATGAGATATCCGTTGTGTTGTTATGAAAGACTAGTTTTTTCAAAGTAAGTTCGACCAAAAATATACCAGTACTTTATGAGAATGACTTCTTTATATCATATCAGATTTTGAAAATTTATCAGTTGTCATCGCACGATTTAAACTCCTCATTCAACGATCAATCTAGAACAATATACTTAATCACCGCCCCACTTCTCTGCAAGGAGCTTGGTCACTTGAGTAAACACCGTGGGATAGTCTGACACACACCACGTGACACTGGTTTTCCTGCCCGCGAAGTGTTTACACAACGGATTTGACTCACAGATACAAGTTAGTCATAGATATCAGCTAAACGTGAACTCGAGTGTACACTTTCTAATCTGAGTGGACAACACGAAAGTGTAACTTTGGTCAATATTCTCTGATGACACTGAAAGAAGCGCCCTTCAAATCATTACAATGTCTTATTTCGATGTTGAATCTTGCAAGTGCAACAAATGTCACAGGGAGTATTTGATATATTTTATGATAAAGCTTCCCAGTTTATTTAGATCTGATGACAAAAAATATCACGTTACTGAAATAAAGATATTCTCATTGAGGACATGATACTACTGCACCCGTTAACAAAACTCCATAATCGCTTCTAAATTTGGACAAATGTACTTTTCTTGTATAGAAAACAAATACACCAAACAGATATTCAGATAATTACTTCGTGACGCTGGCATAACTGATGTAAAGATTCTCATGCCAAGAGGTAGTCAAATCAAATGTTGAAGTCTTTAAATAGTGAGTGAGTGAGTGTATGATTTAATGCCACTTTGGACGTTATGCTGTTATCACACTGTGTCAGCTTCATGTTGGAGGAGAGGACAAAGTGATGCAGCTCTCAGGAATTGGACTAAAAAATAATATTAGAATTTTGCTGATCCCAAGGGATGCTGTGCATGGGTTCTTTAAACTAATATCTTTACAGCTTGAGTAAAAATATTTCCTTTGACATTAAAGAAATCCCACACCCAAAGTACAAGTATTTCTTGATGGTACTCAAATAAGTCATTGCTCTCAGAAAGACAGGATGTATGAAATATCCATAACAGTATCATGTAGTGTCCATATGTTCTTTACGTGTGGAACTGGCCTATGAAGTTCAATTTAGAGATGACAGAAATCAGTTCTACTGCTCTGAATCTGAGGGGTTGTTTCATGAAGTGAGATAGCATACGGGAGTAGATGTCAGTTTTTAATGAGGAAGACTTGCCCTTTATTCCCTTTGCACTGAAACTATTGCCACATGTTAAGATCCGGGTTAGGGTTGGTCTTCAGTAACGTATGCTTGTCGTAAGAGCCAACTAATGGAACAGGTGGTCAGGCTCACTGACTTTGGTTGACGCTTGTCATCGAATCCCAACTGCATAGATCGATGTTTGTTATGATGATCACTGGATTGTCTGGTCCAGACTCGATTATTTACAGGCCGCGACCATATAGCTGGGATATTGCTGAGTGCGGATTTTAAACAACAAAACAAACTGTCATTGCTTTGTTGGGGTTTGTCAGTTAAACTGTAACTATTTACTCAGTGATTGAAATTACCTGTAAATGTTTTGTAATGTTTAAAAAGGTAGCATGTGCTGAATGTAAGATTTAAGCAATCTTATAATCTTGTCACTGATCTACAAATTGGATCTTGCTCATTTGTGGAACCCTCATATTCCAGCTCATGCAAGAATGGAGACAATGGACAGTAACCAGAATTATTTACGGAGAAACAGTAGTGGAAATTCTGTTCACAAACCAGGAACTGACCTGAGTGAAATTGTAACAATGGCCTGTCTCAGTGACCGCTGTGACGTCCTAAAGGCAAGACTCCAGGTGAGCTTAGTTCATTGATGTTTGGAGTTATATAAAATGAGTGAGTAAGTTGGGTTTAAAACGGTATCAAACACCCCTGATTCTCACACCCAGTGCTGGACAAAACAACCAGTCCATGAACACTGAGTGAGTGAGTGAGTGAGTTGAGTTTTACACCGCTTTTAGAAATATTCCAGCAATATGGGGACACCAGAAATGGGCTTCACACATTGTACCCATGTGGGGAATCGAACCCAGGTCTTCAGCTTGACCAGCGAACACTTTACTAACTAGGCTACCCCACTCCCCCCTGACTGTAATGGTCATTGTGGAATTGTCCAAAGTAAATAACTACATGTGGATTCACAGCAATACAAAATGGTAAATTCTTAATGTTCAGTTCCTGATCAACCATGTTGTTTAGTTTTAGCTGTAACAGATCTATACAGCATTAGGGTGACTGGGCTCAGGTCAGAGATTCAAGTCATTCACTCTCAACATTGTCTGTTTGTACACAACATGATGACTATAGGGCATTGACATAGCCCAGTGGTTGAAACATTTGCTGGTCAGGCAGATGACCCGGGTTTGATTCGGTACACAATTTCAGATGCTGCCCTCCATGATATTGCTTGAATTTAGTACAGGTGGCCTCAAACCTTACTGATTTGCAGACTGGCAAAGCATCCACACCTGACCCGTATACCTGCATCAGTGTGAGAAATTAATGAAATATGCGCTGTTCAGCTATAATACGAATAGTAAGGCTTTTCGCCTATTGCCGATGTTGTATACATGCCATGTCTGTAATTTCGTTTTTCTGCCATTTCGTTGCCAGTTCAACAATTACGTGCACCCGAATCATCACCTGATTTTATATTTTGTTTTTGTATTATTTTATGTAACCACATGATGTCCATGTTGTTGACAGTGTGCCCTGCCCCTGCCCTGCCCTGCCCTGCCCTGCCCCCACCAAACTGCCCTGCCCTGCCCCAAACTGCCCTGCCCTGCCCTTAAAATGTAAACACCAAACTGCCAGTAAATATTTAGACAAACTACAAGCGACTACTTCATCTTCTTTTAAAGCAGTATCACTTGATCACTCGATCCAGGCCAGCAGTCGCCTCTTATGACAAAGATGGCTTGCTGAAGACCAGTTCTAACTTACAGTTTCACATTGTATGAAATATTGATACTGACCATTCAGAAAGCTGATAATGAAATACATGTTTCAAGTTGAGAGTTTCCAGGACTTCTCTTCTGCCCCCCAGAGAAGCACACATATGGTCTCACCTTAGGCCAGTGAGTTTGTTCAAAGTTGCCTCTGTTCACCCAACAAAAATACAGGCAGCTTGGGTGTCTGGGATACTAATGTCCATTACATTGTATATTGAATGCGCTTAGAGCATGCCCCTGCAGCGTGGAGTTCAATGCTATATGAGTGGCGTTATTATCATCATATATACATTATTTGATGAAATGACTGATCTTTGAGATCTTTCCTCAAGTAGACATCACTTCAGTCAAACTTGATGTGATTGGAAAAGGCTTCTTTATTGTAGAAATATCCTGTAATTAATTGATGTATATTTCAGGGTATATCGAAGAGTGACGTTAACCTTCAAGACACAGCGGGGATGACTGCTCTGCATTTTGCCATTGCACATAAGAAGGTGACTGATTAGGGTGAAATACCTTTCACACAAGACTGTCATGTGATGCCGGGAAAGGTTAAAGAGCAGGGTGCCATTGAACACAGCAATATTTGAATACCATTTATTTACCTTAGTTGTTGTAGAATGCAATTGATATTGTATTGTAAGAACAAGATGATGATCACTGATTGTATCTCATCTGTCAATGATGTCATGTGACCTGGACACAAAGCTGCTTGTGCAGACTGCCAAGGTCAAGCTGCTTGAATTGTGCAGATTCCCAAGGTCAAGCTTTATTGGTGTTGTACAAGATGTACAGTTACCCAAATCAGAGACCCATCTAATCCCATTTTTTGTCATCTCACGGCACCAAAGATGAACCTGCTCCAACATGGATTATAAGGATTATATAAGCAGAAATAACATTGTTGAACATGAGGATTACTAAATATATTCCATTCCTGCCCACTCCAGTCCTCCATTCAACCCACCCTTCCTCACTGTCTGACTGACTCCTTCTCACTCAGGTGGAGGCGGTCAACCTTCTGCTTGACCATGGAGCAGACGTCAATGCAGCAGATGATCATGGCTTCACTCCCCTCTTCCTGGCTACGGGTGAGTAAAGAACGTACAGTTGCTGAATTTAACATCACTTTGAACCATATTTCAGTTATGTCACAGCATATGAAGTATTCACCAACTTTGATAGTTATCCTCATGAATATGTAATCTCCAAACAGGACATGTATTGTGAGTATGTTTTTGTGCTGCTTTTAGCAATATTCCAGCAATATCATGGCAGGGAACACCAGAAATGGGCTTCACACATTGTACCCATGTGTTAAATCGAACCCTGGTTTCGGCATGACAAGCAAAAACTTTGACCAATAGGCTACCCCAAAGTCATACATATTGTGTGTTGACGAGTATATTCGTAAAGTATGTTTATTGTAAGATAGAGATTTTGAGTAGACTGTGTGTAGGTGACTACATGTTAGGAATAAAAGCTTTCTGCTAGCATGATACATAATTTCAAACTTATCTTAACTCACGTGTCCTGTTGTGACACCACGCCTGAACACAACCCTGCTCTCTCTGTTGTTGTAGGCTGTCACTGGAAGAGCATGTACAGTGTGTCCCTTGCCCCCTACTGACTTCAGCTGAAGTCGTTTTCTTTCTTGTCGGGGCGGTTGGGTAGCCTAGTGGTTAAAGTGTTCGCTCGTCACTTCGAAGACCCGGGTTCGATTCCCCACATGGGTACAATGTGTGGTGTCCCATGCCGTGATGTTGCTGGAATATAGCTTAAAGCGGTGTAAAACCAAACTCACTCACTCACTCTCTTATTTGTCGCTTGCGGGTGCCTTTAGCAAGCATAATACATGCTTTCTATGTCTAACCTGGTAGAATGCTTTAAGTGAATTTTACACTGTGAATCATAATAAGCGACTTTACCATATGAAAACTTGTGTGTTGATAGTGTCAGAGAGGGAGAGGGAGGATTTATTTTCTGTGTCATTTATATGCAGAACAATATTTTTCAAAGTATCTATGTGTGATTTTTTAATTTTATGCTGTGAATCACAATCATCATTCCTGAATGCAAATTTCAGCCCGTGGGAACTAAGATTTAGTAAGAACTATCTTATGCAGCTTTAACATTATTCCAGCATGTCAGTTTGGGGAAATCAGACATGTGCTTCGCACATTGCAGCCTTGTAGGAACAAACCCAGGCCTTCAGTATGACAAGCAAACACTTTGACCATGTGGCTACATGACTGCGAAATAAATACGACAAGATTGTGTCTTTAATGCAGGTCGTTATGCTGACTATGATGTGGCACTAACTCTACTCCAGAAAAATGGTATCAGTGTCAACTGCATCAACTACAACGGTGCAACACCTCTACACGGGGCTGCCCATGCACAGAATCCAGGTATGATGGTATGATGATGTTCAGTAGTCTCAGAGACCGTGAAGATCCGGGTAAAAAAGTAAGAGCACTTAGCCGGGATCAGGAATGTTGATGCTCATGCTGTTGATCACTGGATTGTCTGTAGTCTCAGACCCTCGTCTTCACTTTGCTAATGTTCCATTAAGTACATAATATCTTGGTCCGTAGTTGAGTCCAGGGATTTATCTGGACCTGTCCTGATGCAGATGTTCAGCCTCAAGTTCACCCAATTATTAATACAAATTTGCAAATTTGAGTCACATTTTATCAATTTTATGCGTCTTTGGTCACAATCAGTCATGAGTAGACAGATGCTTGGAACCTGTAGAATGTTTCCAGTTTCGAAACACCTCCCAGAAACACAGCAGATGCAGTTACCACCACCTTCTCTTGTCAGTGTCACAGCTCTAGCTGCAGATGCAGCTGTTAGATAGGACAAGTATTAGACATATAGGATTTACTATAACATTTCAGTAATTATGTCAATAAAATTATGTCAAAAAATGCTTAGTTTAACAATACTGAGTTCAACAAGATGTTAAATATACACTGTCAATAAATTTTTGTCAGGTGCACTAAGTTTTGATTGCTAGATAAATTCCTGGAGAAGTAATGTTGAATACAAAGATAGAATAGTATTGTATTGTTACTCGTTGAGCAGCGAAAACTAAACAGCCAGTTTGAACAATAGTTTAGATTTACAACTGCCACCAGGAGTCACATGTACCAGACTGGTGCTAATATGGTTAATAACTATATGGTTACTCCTGCTACTCACAGTGATGGTTGTGGTTCTGCTGGACTGAGACAGGCTGGGTGTCTGGGGCAGAACTCAAAGAGTTGCCTCCCTTAGCTGTGGACGTGACCTTCACTAAAAGTTGTGCAGTTGGTTGTCACATTCTTGCTCTCCGATGTGGCTGGAAGATTGGGACCAGTATCTGTCTTTCTCATCATTTATTTATTTATTCATTTATATTTATAAATTGCCAATATCCAGATCACCTGCTCAAAGGCGCTTTGTTTTTCCCTTCAGCATTGGATGTCAGTCTCAAACGGCACAATGTATTATCAATCCTGGGGAGCATACAACTCTTGCAGCCACTAGGCGCACCGAGTTAATGAGGCTTCCCATCCTTACGAGGTACCCATTCACAGCTGGGTGGACTGGGACACGTAGTCACAGTACACTGCACGTTGCTGTACCCGCAACTAAGTGTTTGCACGTATTCATGTGGCCACCATCTGGTCATATACCAACAGATTAGTGGGTTCTTTTAAGTGCAAAGGGTTGCGTACTGTACACTATCATACCCTAGAATCAATGATCAGTGTTCCAGTATCATCCAGTTTCCATGTAATTACATTTCTCATCATGTGTTTAAGCAAATTTTGTTTTACATATCACCAATACATACCTGCCTTCTTTAGCCTCCTGTGGAGATTATTGGTAAAAATTGTTTCAGAATCCCAGGTTCCTTAGGAGCCAGCTATATGGCAACGGTCTGTAAATAATCGAGTCTGAACCAGACAATCCAGTGATCAACAGCATGACAATCGATCTACGAATTGCAATTGGGATACGATGACATGTGTCAACCAAGTCAGCGAGCCTGACCATCCGATCCTGTTAGTTGCCTCTTACGATAAGCATGGATTACTGAAGATCAATTCTAACTTGGATCTTCACGCATAGCTTATATGAGAATTTGGTTCTTTCAATGCATGATGTATCTGATTGCATGACTCTGTGATGTCCAACTGAGATTTGATTTTATACTGTAGTGATACTGTTGAGCCATAAAAAACATTCATGTTTTCCTGACATGCAGATTGTGTGCGTCTGTTGATACGACATGGCGCCTGTACCACTGCCAAGTCCAAGGATGGCGCCTCGCCACTTGATCTGTCTGGGGATCACATGGAAACCATAGCTGCTCTCAAGAGTAAGTTTCCTGCCACTATTTCCTTTTCTTGCTATCAGCATATATGTTATGACATAATGTCTGCTTGAGTTTGTTTTGGAGCCAATCATGTTGCTTGTTACAGCCACCCGGTGTGTAGAGTGTGGGGATCAACCAATCACAGGCCTGAAGACATGTGGTCAGTGTCAGGGGCCACTCTACTGCAGCAAAGAATGTCAGCGGAAACACTGGAAGGAGGGCGGCCACAAGAAGGAGTGCGGAGGTGGGTACAGGGGAATATTCTGGAATAAATCCACTCATTGTTGTCTGATACGCGACAATTCGTGCAGGGATGTGTTCATTCATTCAATATCACACCCCTTCCATGATATTGCAGGAATATTGCTAAAAGCGGCTTAAAACTATACTCACTCACTCACACACTCACTGTGCAGTTCATTTCCGGGTCATGTGTGATCCATGTTTCAGGGTTTGTGTGGGCCCTGCCCTACATGGCCCCCGGCACCAAATCGGGATGGGTATCCACCATCTCCCTTCACAACTTGTCAGTATCTACAACTTCAGCAACACACATGAAGCTCTCCAAGAAGAACATCCCCAAGGAACGCTTCATTGTCAAGGTGCAGCTTCCGCTAGGTATGTCGGATCATGCTGATGTAACATATTAATATTCATATGTATATACCCCAGTGAAACTGCAGTTAGAATGTGTTTTCAGCAATCCATGCTTGTCGTAAGTAGGTAGGTTCCAGAATCTGATGGTCTGGCTCACAGACTTGGTTGATGCATGCTGTATTTCAAATGCCTTGATTGATGCTCATGATGTCAGTCGGGGCTGTGGGGTAGCCTAGTGGTTAAAGCGTTCGCTCCTCACGCTGAAGACCCGGGTTCGATTCCCCACATGGGTACAATGTGTGAAGCCCATTTCCGGTGTCCCCTGCCGTGATATTGCTGGAATATTAGTTTGAATTCCAGAAATTTTATTTGTTCATCAGTTATTAAAGGACATGTTTGTAGGTGTTATGGCAATACTTGCTCATTTACAGACTGCCACAATATTGCTGAAATATTGTTGATTGTGGTGTTAAACCTGGAACACATCATTTTATTGTGCCATAGTACCTTTATACCAATGGAGAATATGATGGTGATGTGTTGTAGGAAATGACAATGAGGATATGATGGTGATGTGTTGTAGGCTATGACAATGAGTGATATGACAATGAGGATATGATGGTGATGTGTTGTAGGCTGTGACAATGAGGATATGATGGTGATGTGTTGTAGGCTATGACAATGAGGATATGATGGTGATGTGTTGTAGGCTATGACAATGAGGATATGATGGTGATGTGTTGTAGGCTATGACAATGAGGATATGATGGTGATGGTGTATGTGATATGATGTGATGTGTTGTAGGCTATGACAATGAGGATATGATGGTGATGTGTTGTAGGCTATGACAATGAGGATGACAATGAGGATGATGGTGATGTGTTGTAGGCTGTGACAATGAGGATATGATGGTGATGTGTTTGTAGGCTATGACAATGAGGATATGATGGTGATGTGTTGTAGGCTATGACAATGAGATATGATGGTGATGTGTGTTGTAGGCTATGACAATGAGGATATGATGGTGATGTGTTGTAGGCTATGACAATGAGATATATGATGATGATGTGTTGTAGGCTATGACAAATGAGGATATGATGGTGATGTGTTGTAGGCTATGACAATGAGGATATGATGGTGATGTGTTGTAGGCTATGACAATGAGGATATGATGGTGATGTGTTGTTGTAGGCTATGACAATGAGATATATGATGATGATGTGTTGTAGGCTATGACAATGAGGATATGATGGTGATGTGTTGTAGGCTATGACAATGAGGATATGATGGATGATGATGTTGTAGGCTATGACAATGAGAATATGATGGTGATGTGTTGTAGGCTATGACAATGAGGATATGATGGTGATGTGTTGTAGGCTATGACAATGAGAGGATATGATGGTGATGTGTTGTAGGCTATGACAATGAGGATATGATGGTGATGTGTTGTAGGCTATGACAATGAGGATATGATGATGATGTGTTGTAGGCTATGACAATGAGGATATGATGGTGATGTGTTGTTGTAGGCTATGACAATGAGGATATGATGGTGATGTGTTGTAGGCTATGACAATGAGAATATGATGGTGATGTGTTGTAGGCTATGACAATGAGGATATGATGGTGATGTGTTGTAGGCTATGACAATGAGAATATGGATATGATGGTGATGTGTTGTAGGCTATGACAATGAGAGGATATGATGATGATGTGTTGTAGGCTATGACAAATGAGGATATGATGATGATGATGTGTTGTAGGCTATGACAATGAGAGATATGATGATGATGATGTGTTGTAGGCTATGACAAAGAGAATATGATGGTGATGTGTTGTAGGCTATGACAATGAGGATATGATGGTGATGTGTTGTAGGCTATGACAATGAGGATATGATGGTGATGTGTTGTTGTAGGCTATGTAGGCTATGACAATGAGGATATGATGGTGATGTGTTGTAGGCTGTGACAATGAGGATATGATGGTGATGTGTTGTAGGCTATGACAATGAGGATATGATGATGATGTGTTGTAGGCTATGACAATGAGGATATGATGGTGATGTGTTGTAGGCTATGACAATGAGAATATGATGGTGATGTGTTGTAGGCTATGACAATGAGGATATGATGGTGATGTGTTGTAGGCTATGACAAAGAGAATATGATGATGATGTGTTGTAGGCTATGACAATGAGAATATGATGATGATGTGTTGTAGGCTATGACAATGAGGATATGATGGTGATGTGTTGTAGGCTATGACAAAGAGAATATGATGGTGATGTGTTGTAGGCTATGACAATGAGGATATGATGGTGATGTGTTGTAGGCTATGACAATGAGAATATGATGATGATGATGTGTTGTAGGCTATGACAATGAGGATATGATGGTGATGTGTTGTAGGCTATGACAATGAGGATATGAGGTGATGATGTGTTGTAGGCTATGACAATGAGGATATGATGGTGATGTGTTGTAGGCTATGACAATGAGATATATGATGGTGATGTGTTGTAGGCTATGACAATGAGCATATGATGTGTGATGTGTTGTAGGGCTGTGACAATGAGAATATGATGGTGATGTGTTGTAGGCTATGACAATGAGGATATGATGATGATGTGTGTTGTAGGCTATGACAATGAGAATATGATGGTGATGTGTTGTAGGCTATGACAATGAGATATATTTTGATATGATGGTGATGTGTTGTAGGTGATGTGTTGTAGGCTATGACAATGAGGATATATGATGGTGATGTGTTGTAGGCTATGACAATGAGGATATGATGGTGATGTGTTGTAGGCTATGACAATGAGGATATATGATGATGTGATGTGTTGTAGGCTATGACAATGAGGATATGATGATGATGTGTTGTAGGCTATGACAATGAGGATATGATGGTGATGTGTTGTAGGCTATGACAATGAGGATATGATGATGTGATGTGTTGTAGGCTATGACAATGAGGATATGATGATGATGTGTTGTAGGCTGACAATGACAATGATGGATATAGGCTATGATGTGTGATGATGATTGATGTGGCTTGGCTATGACAAAAGGAATGATGATGATGATGTGTTGTAGGCTATAACAAAGAGAATATGATGGTGATGTGTTGTAGGCTATGACAATGAGGATATGATGGTGATGTGTTGTAGGCTATGACAATGAGGATATGATGGTGATGTGTTGTAGGCTATGACAATGAGGATATGATGGTGATGTGTTGTAGGCTATGACAATGAGGATATGATGGATGATGTGTTGTAGGCTATGACAATGAGGATATGATGATGATGTGTTGTAGGCTATGACAATGATATGATGGTGATGTGTTGTAGGCTATGACAATGAGGCCAAATATGGTGATGTGTTGTAGGCTATGACAATGAGGATATGATGGTGATGTGTTGTAGGCTATGACAATGAGAATATGATGATGATGTGTTGTAGGCTATGACAATGAGGATATGATGGTGATGTGTTGTAGGCTATGACAATGAGGATATGATGGTGATGTGTTGTAGGCTATGACAATGAGGATATGATGGATGATGTGTTGTAGGCTGTGACAATGAGGATATGATGGTGATGTGTTGTAGGCTATGACAATGAGGATATGATGATGATGTGTTGTAGGCTATGACAATGAGGATATGATGATGATGTGTTGTAGGCTATGACAATGAGGATATGATGGTGATGTGTTGTAGGCTGTGACAATGAGGATATGATGATGATGTGTTGTAGGCTGTGACAATGAGGATATGATGGTGATGTGTTGTAGGCTATGGCAATAAGGATATGATGGTGATGTGTTGTAGGCTGTGACAATGAGGATATGATGGTTTACAACAAGGAACGCTCCCTCACACTCCTCATCGGTCCTGATCATCAACAGAAAGGTAGGTCTACACTGTCACTTACAACAGCCTGTTCAATTGACCTCATCTGAGATGATGTCATGGCTCATTTTCCTTCCATCTGTCTGCTTTTTTTCTTTAATGCTTTGAACATCTGTGAAGCCATGAGGTAAAAGGTGAAAGTAGATTGATCACAGCTGCAAAATTCTCCAAAAGTACTGTTCTAATCTTATTTTAGTCACCCAGCCAACAAAATTAAAAAGGCTATTTTTGCTCATTACATTCCTGCATTTGTCACTCTTAGAGCTGAAATTTGTTTTTTACTAGCAATGAAGTTTGGACCCATGAAGATCAAGGTTAGAATTGCTCTTCAGTAACCCATGCTTGTTGTCAGAGGCGACTAACGGAATTGGGTGGTCAGGCTCGCTGAATTAGTTGACACATGTCATCGTAACCCAATTGCGTAGATCGATGCTCATGCTGTTGATCTGTATTGTCTTGTCCAGACTCGATTATTTATGGTCCACTGCCATATAGCTGGAATATTGCTGAGTGCAGCATTAAACCACACTCCAACTCACCTTTGAGTTTCTAAAGCTGTCAATTTCTTTGTATGATCTTCAAGGTCACAAAATTCAAGTCGGTTATTTTTGTTTTAAGTCAGTGCTTCCTTATATGAGTACCCACATGTTTTCCAGCATTTCGTTACATGGCACGGAAAATCAGAAGTGATGGATTCATGGGACTGAAGGCTTTCTTTTGGGCAGAGCTCGTCAACGATCCCGAACTCAAGGTCAAGGTTTACCACAGTAAATGTGCGCCTTTCCAGGAATGGTGATCTGCTGATCTGCACATGACAATATATGTGTTATGGTTTCTGTTATATGATTAGTTGATTTTTTTAATAAATAGAACTATAAATTTGATCCCTGACTCACATTGAAATGTTATTCGCATGAACATATTGGATGAAACAAAGGTTACGTTTGACACTTTCTGGGCATTTTGTTTCTTTCACCTATATCAAAAGAATGTAAGTTTGTCAAAACGTGTAATTTTGTAGGGAGAGATATTTCTTGTGTATCCCTAGATAAAAACCCTGAGGTATAGATAACAGCTACATAAAAACAAATTCACTCACCAAAGAGTGAGTGAGTTTAGTCTTACGCTGCACTCAGCAATATTCCAGCTGTATGGTGGTGGTCGCGGTCGAGTCTGGACCAGACAATCCATATACGCTCACTGTATATATACACAAAGAACTTAATTAAGCATCCCTGTATTTTTGCAGTGATAGGTTTTCAACACGTACATAAAACTTATTGTTGTGACCACGTTGGAAAAACATGATTTTTTCTCGCCCATATCATCCTTTTACTCACAAGAACAACAAAATGATTGGAATCCATGTTGATTTTATGATGATAATTAAAAAAGACACAGATTTTCATACAAAACCATGTCTGAAATTGGATTTCAGCAACCCTCTCTTGTCATGAAAGGCATGTAATGGGATTGGGCGATCAGGCTCACTATGGTTGGTTCCTATCATTGTTTTGATGCTCATGATGTCAATCATTAGATTGTCCGGTGTAGACTTGATTCTGTATTATATTGTGCTTAGTATGTAATATGCCTCAGTGTGACATTATAAACAGCCAGACAAAAGATGTGGGTAAATAGTCTTGGTGCTCCCTGTGATGATTTGTTACTGCAGCATGAAACCTAACTGCCTCACTCACTCACTGCCTTGTGTTGTATCTCAGGATGAAAGTGGAATTTGAAATTACTGACAGGTTTGTTTCAGAGGTAATTATTAGAATGCAATCTGGTTATCTGTTTCAGTTCTGTATTTTATGTTTCTGAATATGTCTCTTTTTCCATTTTATCATTTGAGATTGTTTTATTATGAAGCACAGGAAGAAGTTTGTAAAATATGATTACAGTGATTTGTTATGAACTCTATCATTTAAATATCACCTTTCATTCCTGTGAAGAGTTTCCTCTGGACTGAATCTCATTGATGTATGAAACATATATGATACATGGAAATGTGTTACCGATTTGATTCTCCAGTTATTTTCCTATATTTATTTACATAAAGATTTATTGTTGTTATAACAGAATATAAAACATTGTACAGATTTGTTGTTTTTCTCTTTGTGTATACAATATATACACTCAACATTTACTAAGGAATTCATTTAATAACGAAGACTTATGATCCTTAGTAAATGTTGAACAGTATATCATCGTCACATTATGGATGAGGTAATGATGTTATAACACAAATGTGTTCCCTCTGAGGAAGAAGTTCTAGATATGGCATATGAGCAGAATAAAACAACAATGGACATATACGGGCCTGGCCATCTGGGTAGAATTTATGTTTCTAAATGGATCGAGTGGGTTGGCTCAATGGCTTGGGTGATTGTCTGTCTTTGTTCCCCAGTGTTGTGTAATGTTGTCCTGAATATCAGTCACTGGTTTGTCTGATTCAGATTTGATTCTTCAAAGACAGGTATCATAGAGCTGGAATATTGCTAACAGTGGGATAAAACGAATTTAAATTTTTTCACTTTTTCTGACATTTTGTAGGATGAAATACTAGTCTCGCGGTCCCTGTATAATATTTTCCCTTTTACCCCATCTGTAATGCAAAAGCCTTATATGAAGAAAGTCCAGATTTTACCTCAGGTTATCTTCCCATCTGACTTGTGGTTCCTTTTCAGTTTACACACATTTACAAAGCATTAGTCTAGATGGACTGCATGTGTGGTCTAGTGGATGCACCATTTGCCTAGGGAGCAGAAATCTGGGTGTTTGATCCCTGGCAGCATCAAACCAAAAGACATTCAAAGGTAATTAATGTTTCCCTGACTGGCATCAAGCGTTAAGGGCTAGCACAATAAACCCAGCATCAGTTTAATATTCCCAGGAATTATTGAGAAAGTTATTTCGGCAAATATCTTCTACATGTATATAAACTATAGAAGTTTTACTTAAATGAGTATGTTGAGATATGATCCTCTTACAGTCTGTCTTTTCTGTACTTTGTGAGACCTCCTTGCCCTGCAATACATGTCCATATGTGCCTAGGTACACTACCGATCAAAGTTTGTTGAGGGTCAATAGGGATACGATCTGGGCTGTTGCTGAGCCAATCTAAAACTTGAACCATGGTTTAAAAGATATATCAAACGCCAGAGATCCTCTAAACGCCACTGGTGACTCATGTAATCAATGTTAAGGTTCACAGAGATCCTCTAAATGTGATCTTTTGCAAAATAAGATCTTGACTGAGGGAGGTACTGAATAAGAGATTTTAAAATATTATTTCAAGAATTTTGGAATCATTTAATTCACAGTCAAATGAACCAGGAAACATCTTCCCTCATTGTTTTGGCTTCTTGGACATAAGCCCCTTAATAAACTCTAAATAGCTTCTTCCAGTATTCTCTGTGTGCTCCCACTGTGGGTAATGCCCAATACTTTTGTCCAGGACAACCAGCTTGTGTTGAGGAGCGACTTTCCTGGAACAAACAAATACATGAACTGAGGAAATTAGTAGGTCATCAAAGATAGCTTTTCAGGTGACATCTACTTGGACACATACCACTCAACAATATTTCAGTTATATGGCCGCGGTCAGCAAATAATTCAGCCTGGACCAGACAGTCCAGTGATCAACATCATGAGTATCGATCTACTCAACTGGGATATAATGACAAGTGTTAACCGAGTACAGTGAGCCTGATCACCCGATCAGTGAGTCGCACCTTACGACAGATCTTAACGCGTCGCAATTTCAGTGCAACATGAAAAAGCGCTAGTTTATCTCATTAAAATCTGACTTCCACTCCAGTACGTTAACTCATTTCATGAAACAACCCCCCAGATTCTGACCAGTAGATTTCTGTGTCTCTAAATTTAACTTTATAGGCCAGTTCCACATGTATAGAAAACAGCCACAACATGATACTGTTATGGATATTGCATACATCTTGTCTTTCCGAGAGCAATGGCATATTTGAGTACCATCAAGAAATACTTGTATTTTGGTGTGACTTATTTTGTTGAAGGAAATTAATGTTTTGACTCAAGCTGTAAAATAAATTAGTTTTCAGAACCCACGGACAGTGTCCCTTGGGATCACCAAAAATCTAATATTATTTTTTAGTCCAATTCTAGAGAGCTGCATCACTTCAACCTCTTCTCCAACATGACTGACTGACTGACTGAGTTTGGTTTTACGCCGCTTTTAGCAATATTCCAGCAACATCACGGCGGGGGACACCAGAAATGGGCTTCACACATTGTACCCATGTGGGGATTCGAACCCGGGTCTTCGGCGTGACGAGCCAATGCTTTAACCACTAGGCTACCCCACCGCCCCTTTTCTCCAACATGAAGTTGGCGCCCTGTGATATTGTCAGCATAATGTCCAAAGAGGCATTAAATCCTACACTCATTCACCCCCTCAAGAGTGAGTGAGTTTAGTTTTACCCAGCCTTTAGCAATATTCCAGCAATATAAGGGCGGGGACACCAGAACTGGGCTTCACCCATTGGACCAATGGGGAATTGAACCCGGGTCTTCAGCGTGAGCGAACGATGTAACCACCAAGCTACCCCACCGCCCCAACTCCTGATCACTCAAGACTTAAAGGTTTGGTTGGACTACATCTTGGCATGACAATCTTTGCAGCAGTTTTGCTTATGTCACAAGTAAAAATCAGAATATCTGCATGTTTAGTGTATTTGTTTTCTATTCAAAATACATTTGTCAAAATTAGAATCGGTTATGGAGTTTGGTTAATAGGTGCAGTAGTACCTTGTCCTCAATGAGGATATCTTTATTTCAGTAATGTGATTATTGTGTGTATGTACAGATCTAAATAAACTGGCACCTGTGACATTTGCTGAGCAACATTCAACATCAAAATACTTTTATCGTTAAGCCACACGTCGTACTGATTTGAAGAGCGCTTCTTTCAATGCCATCAGTGAATAATGACCAAAGCAAAGACGTATATTCACAGGATTCGAAGCCTCAGGACGTATACATTTTTTTGTCGAAATTTGATAAAACAAATAGTGATGATAATGATGATAGAGGAATCAAAATATTTATCGGCTATATTTTGGTGTAATGTAAAATGTTGACGAAGTTTTAACTGGAATTGGACGGCATCCCGGTGTTGATCATCCTTGATAATCTCCAGGGTATACGCTCCGATAAATCTAGTGGAGATTTATCGGAACGTATACCCTGGAGATTATCGAGGATGGGTGTTGATAAGCATTCCCACAATATCAAAAAACAAACCAACTACAAACATACACATGATATCACACTAAACTGAAATAGCAATACATCCCATTTGTTTGTAGTTTCTGTCACATTATCATATGTCTATCTATTGTATATGCATTATGAGGAAGGAAATAAACCAACGGATATCTGACATAAGTTTGAAGACGGAACATCGAGAATGACCCGGGCGCATATTCCTCTTTGTACAGCTTTCCTCCAATATACTGGCATTCAGGCAAGTACACAAGTCATTTCACTGACTTTCTTTTACCATTATTGTGGAATTTTAGTGACAGGTAGGTGTATGGTTCAGACGACTGTTATGCGAACCCGTGAAGATTTGGCTTAGAATATTGATCTTCAGTAACACATGCTTGTCGTTAGAGGCGACTAACGGGATCGGGTGTTCAGGCTCGCTGACCACCGCCATATAGCGGGAATATTGCTGAGTGCGGCGTAAAACTAAACTCACTCACTCAGACGACTGTGGGACAGCTGTTATAACCAATGCGCGTCATTATCCATTTCGTTCAAAACATCTGAATCAATGTTTGTTTGTTAGATGACGTCGCACTGAGCAATATTCCAGCTTTAGACGACGGTATGTAAGTAGTAAATAGAATCGTTTAGGTTTCAGCAATACCTACTACAATCCGTTTGCCTCCAAAGCGGACAGATGAATTACAATCTAACTCGAAAACTAATAAACATATAATACTCAGTGAAACGCTGATCATAATCAAAACATCAGACCAACTCTGTGAGTCTTTTGCAGAATTTGTGTCCTAAAAATTAAAAAGTTGTTTAACAAACTATCATTAAAATATTGACACAGTTCAATATTTGTTACGAGGAGTGCACAGAGACGAACAGCCAGGTGTACGAGAAGTGTGTATCTCTCAGCACAGGTAAATGAATCAATAATTTTGTCTGCACTTGTGCACACGCTTCTCGTACACCTGGTTGTTCCCAGCTTTGCACTCCTACCCTGTAACAAATAGTGCATATCAATATTGTGATGATAATTTGTAAAACAACTTTATAGCAGGAATGTTGCCGAGTGCGGCTTAAAACTAAACTCACTCACTCACAATACATACTATTATTCATCTGGCAGCAACTGTGTTTAAACTTCCAAACAAAGAATTGTCTGACGTCCAGATGAAAATATGACCTTCGCAAATTCGCTAGTCTTGATCGATGTAATGTGAGATGGCAGAGCCATGCACTTGCCCCCTTATACAGTCTTTAAAACACTTCTATATGATCCATATTATATGATCCATATTATAACGGATTAATCTATGCTGTTCTAGGTGGTTTCGGACCAGATTACTCTTGACCTCAAAGTGTATAGCATCTTGTACACCACTGCATGTCCTCTACTGAATCGTAACTGATAACAAATAATGTAATACAATTACAACATTATTTTACGATAAAACACAGAGCAAAAGAATGCAATTGAGGAATTAATTGTTTCTTCAACGGTGAGAAATGTATTGCTTTAAAAAAGTGTTTCACTGAAAACGAGAGTGACAAGAGAGGAACGCCTTTCTATATTTTATTCTCTCTCTATATATATTGACATATGTGTACTGTCAAAGACAACTGGCAACAACGTTGGGTTTGGTCCTACACAGTCTCTCTGAAATTCGTTGAGCTGGCCGCATTATCTACCTTCCCACAGCCATTTCTGAAGTGCTTAAGCTCTAAATGAAGGGGGGATTCAGGGGGTTCTACCCCCCCCTTCTGCATGTGACGCGGCAATTAAATTGGATTTAATATACAGCAATGATTCCCGGATAATATTTAATGTACCTAACCATACGTCAGTTGAGAGGGAGTTTCCTTCACAGCCTGAATTCGCTAAAAATCTGTTTTCGTATAAAACCCAGTCCACATTTCACCGTTAACACCATGAAGTGAGTAACGTTTCCGGGATTTCCGAGGCGGCCGGTCCCGAACAGATAATATGTGAAGTCCACAGAAGCTTGTGATTACCAATGGAAAGTCTTGTGTTTAACGAGGTAACAACCAGATGAAAAGTTATTATGAACTTTCATTGTTTGATATAGACTTAATTCGTTTGTTGTCCATTTTGATTCATGACAATATCGATAGATGTGCAACAGGTGCCCTCTCATTCCCTAGCCTAGGTCAGCGTCTGAATTCCGATTCATCGTTGTCAGTGAACTGATTTTGTAATGATGGATGGTCCGACTAAAACAATTATTCGTTGAAATGTAGATGACAGACAATGCTCTGGTAACTGTGGCCTGAGCGGGTCAGTTGAGCATTGACAACGATGCTTTTCAAACCAAATGCACATCTGATGAAACGTGTAGACTGTACTCAGCTGGTACAAGAATCGTTCTGACGACAGTGGACCCGTGAAATGTTGTCAAAATATTTCTTCAAAGGACGTTTATTTTTGAAGTAGCACATTTATGGATTCAACGTTTGAAGAAATTTTCAGATAATTACTGACTTTATTTTTGATTTTGATGCTAATTGTCATTGTGACCAAATTTGTTAATTGACGATTAGACAATTATGGTGAAAGAGTAATTTCATGCTGTGCAGTGTTTGTGGCTAAATATTAACATCTGTGCTCTTCATCTGCTATGCTAGCAAGTTAAAGTTAAGCCACAGGAGTGTAAGTGCATGATGTACAAACATGACAAAAGCTATGGTCTACTTTTAAAGTCAGGCCTTTTCGCCTACAGTCATTACTTTTTCGGCTTAGTGAAAATCACACCAACAGAGGATATACTGACAGCTTGTTCTCTTTCATTTTTCAGTTTGTGATTTGCTGTTAGTTTGCTACCTGTTCATATTTCAAAAGTACTGCCTCATCTGTAGGTAGTTTTGTATTTAGTATACACACTTACATCTAGTTCTTTGAATGGCATATAGAAGTGATGAACATGTCACAAAAATATATTTTTATATTGACTTCCTTATTTTTGAAGCAAGACGTTTTAAAGTTAATCCACTTGAAGAAGTAGTTAGAATAACTCTGAAACCATGTGTCTGACAAATAGAGAATTGACATCGCAAAAATGTTATGGCTTAGCCTGCGGGAGTGTTGTGCACTGGATTATGGACTCCATGTTATATCTGGGATTACACCTTCTCTGTAAAGTATAGATTCAAATACTTTTTGGTTGAGTCCCATCCGGTAATTAATTTGAACCCATTGTCTCTGATTAGGGCACCTAATTACAATCACACAACGTGCCTGACTGGGAATGTCGGTTTGAATCCTAGATAGGACTCAACCCCCCCAAAGTACTTGAATCTACTTTACTAGAACGTCTAATCCTGAACATAACATATGTTACAGTTGACCACTTTGTAAATGGCATTGTGTATTTATTTTCTGTGTAATTGGGACTTATAAACAGTGGTGGAATCTGGAATAGACAAAGGCGGCTTTACACAGATTATGTGTTAATATTATTATCACTTCTGAAAGTAAAATACCGGTGTCATTGTGATTTGGACAGATTGACAGATTCGACAAAGGCTGATTTACAGTCCATTGTACGTTCTTGTATATGCTGATGACCATGTTCACATGACGGTGACGACCCGTGAAGGTCTTCAGTAACCCATGCTTGTCGTAAGAGGCAACTAACGGGATCGGGTGGTCAGGCTTGATGACTTGGTTGACACGTCATCGGTTCCCAATGATCGATGCTCATGTTGTTGATCACTGGATTGTCTGGTCCAGACTCGATTATTTACAGACTGCTGCCATATAGCAGGAATATTGCTGAGTGCGGTGTAAAAACTAAACTCTCTCACTCACTCACTCACATGACGGTGACTGGGTAAATGTGGTTTTACTCTGGTTTTAGAAATATTCCAGCAATATCATGGCGAGGGACAGCAGAAATGGGCTTCACACGTTGTACCCATGTGAGGAATTGAACCTGGGTCTTTGGTGTGACGAGCAGACTCTTTATGTACTAGGCTACCCCACTGACCATATTTACATTACAGTATCATCTGTATTGAATGAACAGTGACCTTTCAACATAATATGCTATAGGGCTGCAACTAGGGGTGTCACATAGATGATATTATATGAATGCCCATGTCATACTATCTTTATGACACGAGTGCCTAAATGTTGGTATTTCCCGAGCGAGACCGAGGGATATACTGATATTTAGGCACGAGTGTAGTAAACATAGTATAAAATGGGCATGAATATATTATTCTGCTTATTACCGAAGTCGTCAAATGTGGGAAAATAAACCCAAATTTACTTTCAAACACAGGCTGGCTACCCGCCGTCGCTGTATGTAGAACGCAACGTCACAGAAGAAACGTGATGTCATAGCCTTGTTCATGATGTCACGTCACCATGACAAAGCTATGGTCTACTTTTAAAGTCAGGCCTTTTCAGCCTATAGTCATTACTTTTTCGGGCTTAGTGAAAATCACCCCAACAGAGGATATACTGACAGCTTGTTCTCCTTCCATTTTCAGTTTGTAATTTGCTGTTAGTTTGCTACCTGATCATATTTCAAAAGTACTGCCTCATCTGTAGGTAATTTTGTATTTAGTATACACACTTACATCTAGTTCTTTGAAAGGCATATAGAAGTGATGAACATGTCACAAAAATATATTTTTATATTGACTTCCTTATTTGTGAAGCAAGACGTTTTAAAGTTAATCCACTTGAAGAAGTAGTTAGAATAACTCTGAAACCATGTGTCTAACAAATAGAGAATTGACATCGCAAAATGTTATGGCTTAGCCTCATGGAGCGTTTGTGCACTGGATTATGGACTCCATGTTATATCTGGGATTACACCTTCTCTGTAAAGTATAGATTCAAATACTTTTGGTTGAGTCCCATCCGGTAGTTAATTTGAACCCATTGTCTCTGATTAGGGCACCTAATTACAATCACACAACGTGCCTGACTGGGAATGTCGGTTTGAATCCTAGATAGGACTCAACCCCCCAAAGTACTAGAATCTACTTTACTAGAACGTCTAATCCTGAACATAACATATGTTACAGTTGACCACTTTGTAAATGGCATTGTGTATTCATTTTCTGTGTAATTGGGACTTATAAACAGTGGTGGAATCTGGAATAGACAAAGGCGGCTTTACACAGATTATGTGATAATATTATTATCACTTCTGGAAGTAAAATACCGGTGTCATTGTGATTTGGACAGATTGACAGATTCGACAAAGGCTGATTTACAGTCCATTGTACGTTCTTGTATATGCTGATGACCATGTTTACATGACGGTGATGACCCGTGAAGGTCGGGTTAGAATTGATCTTCAGTAACCCATGCTTGTCGAAGAGGCAACTAACGGGATCGGTGGTCAGGCTTGATGACTTGGTTGACACGCCATCAGTTCACAATGATCGATGCTCATGTTGTTGATCACTGGATTGTCTGGTCCAGACTTCGAATATTTACAGACTGCTGCCATATAGCTGGAATATTGCTGAGCGCGGTGTAAAACTAAACTCACTCACTCACTCACTCACATGACGGTGACTGGGTAAATGTGGTTTTACTCTGGTTTTAGAAATATTCCAGCAATATCATGGCGTAGGACAGCAGAAATGGGCTTCACATGTTGTACCCATGTGAGGAATTGAACCTGGGTCTTTGGTGTGACGAAAGCAGACTCTTTATGTACTAGGCTACCCCACTGACCATATTTACATTACAGTATCATCTGTATTTAATGAATGGTGACCTTTCAAAATATGCTATAGGGCTGCAACTAGGGGTGTCACATAGAAGATATTATATGAGTGCCCATGTCATACTATGTTTATGATGAGTGCCTAAATGTTGGTATTTCGGTAGAGGAGTGGATATACCGATATTTAGGCACGAGTGTCGTAAACATAGTATGATATGGGCACAAATATAATATTCTGATTATAACCGAAGTCGTTAAATTGGGGAAAATAAACCCAAATCTACTTTCAAACACAGGCTGACTACCTGCCGTCGCTGTATGTAGAATGCAACGTCACAGAAGAAATGTGACGTCATAGCCTTGTTCATGACGTCACGTCACCAAGACAAAGTGTTATTTTGCCCTAGGGCATCGTATGAAAAATATGAACCCCGATATGTTCGCCCTCGTAGGTAATAAAATACATAAGTTTCATGAATCGATACGTATCACGATACCCATGTCACTATTCGATGCGTATCACGATACCTATTTTTGTGGCATTATTGTGTAAATTTAGTTACATTTTGAACATTAATATTTCATATTTTATAATTGTTCATGAAAAGATCAACATTTCTGATTCTCAGAGATAAAAAAAAGTTCTAATTTCCCATCTTTTTGCATGAAAAATAATCATTTATAACTGTCATAACATCAAAAAACAATTGCAAAATGTAAATGATACATAAGCATATATAAAAAGATACTTTCAAAACTAAATATCGATACAGTTTTGAATGTATCGATAATTGTATCGTCTTAGAAAAAGTATCAATATATCGATGTATCGTGGCATCCCTAGCTGCAATGTTTCTTGATAACTCAGCAGATGTCATTGATACTTAGGTGCAGATGATGCTTGAATTCATTAGTTTTTTAAACTAAAATAGAATGGGAGTACTCTATTGTAACCACACTGTACAATTACTACAAACACTTCCTCGTGTATCTATATTAGGGCTTCAATGAATCCACAATGTGTCAAATATCATATCAGGGATGGAAAACTATAGTACTGTCGGAAATAGAAAAAAACTGTTTTTAGGCTCTTACTCTGTATCCCTAAAATTTACACAACTGCAAATAGCATATGTCGAAATAACCCACTTCGGCCTAACTTGGCGTTCAGTGGGATGCGTAATAGGATATCCAGAAAAGCATGTTTACTCGTAAAATCGGGCAAAACTTCGAAAAAAATGAATAGCTGCTGAAAACAATAGATCAGACTATAGATGGCAATTAGGCCGCTCAGCCACGTATGACAACGGACCGTCAACTCACCTGGCATG